TCTCTCTCTCTCTCTCTCTCTCTCTCCAAAGTTTTGCCTTCAAAACAGCGAAACAATAAATTCAGGAAATAATCAATTTTTGAATGAATGAGAGAAATAAATATAAAAATATGAAATAATAAAAAACTTAAGGTAAAAAAGTTGTGTTTTTTGTATTGTATGTGTTTTTATTATTGCAATGCATTCAAACAATTTGATTATTAGTTTTCAATTACCATTTGTTTTGTCATACAATTCATAAAACACCTGTTGTTTTGTGAGGCGCCTATGGATTGGTGCCATAAAATAAATGCTATTACTTTTACCCCGTAATCGTGTTTTATGTGTTAATGAGTATTTAACCAGGTTAGAATAAACAAACATATTGCCAAACAATCACACTGATTAATTGTATTAAGTTAATTTACAAATATTTAATCAATATTAACCAATATCATTATTGTCATTTAACTTAGGCATCTACCATCGATGGCCGACGCAAAGGTGCATGCTTGTTCTGTCAGGAGTACTTCATGGACCTGTACCTGCTCGCTGAGCTCAAGACCATTTCGCTGAAGGTAATTCCCACCACCCCCTCCAACTCACATAATAACCACGATTATTTGTGGCCAACATTTACTTTTCTCACACATACATCACAAAAACAAACATTGATTTGAAAAAACAATAAAACAAAACTTTTTTCATCACTATTTGTGTTTGCATTTGAAAAACTCAATTAACACTAATGTTATGCTTGTATTGTATGATTGGACACACCTATAGGTGACGACCGTAGATATGCTGAAACCGCCGCCGGACTTCCGGTCCAACTTTGATAGCACTCCGCCGCCGATACTCATCGATAGGGGTCAGGCGGTGCTCGAGAACGAGAAGATCGAGCGCTATATCATGAAATCGATACCCGGCGGACACAACCTCTTCATATCGGACAAAGAGACCGCCACCACCATCGAGAACCTCTATAGCGTACGTATAGGGGGTCCCTACACCCCCTAACCCCCACCGCACCAGCACATGGTGTTTGTGGTGTTAATGATTGTTTAATTGTGTTTTTTGTTTTGTTGTATAGAAATTCAAACTAATGCTAACGAAGAGAGACGAGCCGTCGAAGAAGGCCCTACTCGTCCACCTCCGCAACATTAACCAACACTTAGACAAACGCAACTCGCGGTTCCTCACCGGCGACACCATGTGTTGTTTCGACACTGAGCTCATGCCTCGGCTCCAACACATCAGGGTTGCCGGTATGTGTGCGCCCCCCACACCCCACAACCCCGATGTTTGTCAGGGCATCTACCTAGAGCATATGTGGCCAGTTTTTCACTAGATTTAGCTCGATAGATTACTAGATTTAGGAGTTTACTGTGTTTAGAGTTGTTTTGGTGTCTTGGTGGTTTTGTTTTAATAAATACCCTCCACTTTATGGTAACGATTGCCAACTAGTGATGGCGTTAGGATAGCGTTAGTGTTACCTTAACACAGACCCATATAGTATTGTACTCCCCCTAACCCCCTGACAAACGATTTATATAGATCTCTCCACACAACCCCCCCCCCCTCCTATACTCTAGCTAATAGCTCATATTATGTATAATCAGGATCATATTTATTTAGCCCATTATGTATTATTTTTTATTATTAATTCAATAACTAATTACAAAACAAATTGTGTTTTCAAAAGGCAAATACTTTTCGGAGTTCGAGATACCGGAAGAGTTTGGGCGCATCTGGCGCTACATGTATCACATGTACCAATTGGACGCATTCACGCAGTCGTGTCCGGCCGACCAGGACATCATCAACCACTATAAGCTACAACAGGGCGCCCGCATGAAGAAGCACGAAGAGTTGGAGACACCCACCTATACGGCCAGCATTCCCGCCACCGTCGACACCAACCACTACAACAACAACAACGGAACATCATCAACCACTATAAGCTACAACAGGGCGCCCGCATGAAGAAGCACGAAGAGTTGGAGACACCCACCTATACGGCCAGCATTCCCGCCACCGTCGACACCAACCACTACAACAACAACAACGGCCACTGAATGCCATTATTATTATAAACTGTTGCGATTATTATTAATTAATATTATTATTATAATTATTATTATTACGATTTTTTGTTTGTTTAGTTTTTTTGATTATTATTATTATTACTTTTTTTTGCTGTAACTTTCTATTATATTATCTATAACCTCACGGACCCCCACACCCGACCCCCGTATATGTCGACTGATTTCCTGTACACAGTGTGTCCCCCAATATGTATACATTATTAATATTCATATTATTTTATTCAACTTTTAGTTTTTACTATCTTTCGTGTAGTTATTTGTCTCTCTTATTATATAACTATTATTATTATTATTACATTCCTCTATATGTTTTGTTTGTGTGGTTATAACCACTGCCCTCAAGAGTGAGACATTTATAAGACTTTTCTATCGAAATTCAATATTACTTTTGTTTATTTTTTGACCACTTTTTGCCTTTTATTTGTTAATAAATATACTGTAAGTCTGTATATAAGACGTCCCATCCATACACCCCTACCCCATACACCCTTTCCCCCTCTCAACGAGACCAACACCCGAGACATACATATAATTAGTGCAAAACAACTGATTATTATAATTAATTTGATGGCTATTTAGGTCTAGAAAAGTCCAGTTTATAAATGCTATTAAGTTATACGCTATGAATGCAAAACACAATTGTCTTTATTTAATTAATTTGATTTTTTGGTTATAATTATATTAAAAATACTTATTATTTCTTGAATCCGATTTATAACCACATATTTGACTGAATGATAAAAGTATATATAAATAATTATTAGAGATTTTTTGTGTTAATTATTATTATTTTTGTGAGAATTTATTGAAATTCAGACGAGATTTGTATTGAAAACCGTTTATTTCGATAACAAGATTAAAATTAAACATTTTCGATAATTAATTTACAATTGATTTTGTAATAACTATTACATTACTTACGAACAGAAATATAATATTTTATAACTAAATATATGCAAAATATATTAATTTTTGTCTAAAAAATTAAAATTAAACATTTTCGATAATTAATTTACAATTGATTTTGTAATAACTATTACATTACTTACGAACAGAAATATAATATTTTATTACTAAATATATGCAAAATATATTGATTTTTGTCTAAAATATATAATAATTTATATTTATTTAGAAAATTACAAAATATTTTCTACTAATTGCTTACAAAACAGTCGAGCATTTAATTGTATTTTTAAAAATAAATTTTTGTTATTATAATTATTATAACGAATACAAACTTATTGTGTGATAAATGAATATCGAAATAAATAAAATTTTAAAATTGTAAACAAGGTATAATTTATTTAGTTATAACATTTAAATTAAGAATATATTCAAGTAATGTCTGATAAATATCCAGTTTTAATACACAGTCAAAAGTTAGAATAAAATGTCTAAATATTTATTAAAAATTAATTTATAATTGTTTTTCGCGATACATATCTTGAGGAATATCCAGATTAACGGGTCGTGCGTTGAATACGGCTTTTGGCGGCTCTTCGGGATCAGTTGGATGTGATTTGCGGACAATAATGCGTTCGACGACATCACCAGACAATTGACATCTAATCCTAAACCAGACAACAGTTAATACAATTGACGTAAAGATAATGACCGCCAGAATCGCCACTAATAAACATGTGTACAGAATATTGTGGTTATAGTTATCGTCGGCTTTTATTACTGACACTAATAGTGATAATTGTATTGTAATTATGAAAAGTGGGTTCAGTTTTGAATACATTTTACAAATGTTTATTTCAATTCACTTTCTGTTAAACTGATGGCTATTTATAAAATCATTTATTGAATTGCTTTTATTTAAACATTACTTTTTTGTAAATGATTTTTTAAATCACGAGGTAATTTGATAATTAACAATAATAAATGAATAAATATGTGACAGTTAATAAACAATTTTTATCATAATTAATTGCATGATTTAATGG